AAATCCCCCCAACAGAGGAACGAGAAGACCTGACAACCCTACAGGCCAGTATCTCCATATGGGTGTTGTCTGGACAGATACCAGAACATCCTGCTCCAGACATCCCCCACCGGACTCCTTGGGGAAGGCCAGCTGCAGTGGAGGCCAATAGGACTGGCTAGGGTTGCCAAACCTTTTCTTCTTGCGGTGGGGGGGAAACTCTATGTTTTCCCCTCAAATGGCTGTGGCCCTGCCCCCAGCGTGCCCAGCGTCATCACGTCACATCCGGCTGACATGCATGCCGGGGTGGGGTTTCCCCCAGGGCCCGATTCCATGGCGGCAGAAATCGGGCCTCCAAAGCGGGGGGAAATCTGCCCCCCGGGGGGATTTGGCAGCCCTAGGACTGGCTCCAAGGCGGTCAATGGCCCATAGCTTCCCCAAGACCCAGCGATCCATTCATTGCTATGAAGGCTGGTATGGTCAGTGTCTTGTGTGGGTGTAGACGTAGCACACTCATTGGCTGGCTTCTCCACCTCGATGTGGGCAAATGCAGCTGCACCAGACCCCAACCTCCCAGATGGTGCCACAGCACTGCTTCCGGATCCTGCCGTTGCCACCTGAGACCACCCAGGCCCAGCCCCCGATGACTCCAACACTTTCACCTCTGCAGCGCCAACTGATGCCGCCATAAGGCAAGAATCCAACAGAGTTATCCTGGTGCTTAATTGAGAAGTAAGTTTAGCTACATGCCTGGAATATGTACAAGGTTTCAGAACCACAGCTGCTGTTTGGTCAATGGAAACCTGAGGTCGCCTGGCCACTCGTGCCAAAACCAAAACTGTTACAGAGTTGATCTCTGTAGTCTGGAGATCAATTATAATTCTGGGTGATATCCAGGCCCCATCTGGGAGTTGGTAACTCTAATCCCCTGGCAGTGGCCATTCACCCACCACCATCTCAGAGCTTTTAAGTCCTTTTTTAATCAGCAGTTGACGTATCTTTATAATATTACAGCAACCTGTATGTCAGGTTCTCTGAATGCCAAGTTATTGTTTGTTTTTTAGGTAAGTCTCAATTCCTTTTTGTTGCAGAGATGCATAAAAGGGGCTAGAAATTTGATTATTTTTTTAAAGAAAGTTGGGGATTCAGAGAAGCTAATACACAG